TACACTGACTACCAATAAGTATTTGGACACCTATGCAAATGAAGATATCTGCGGTCCTAAGGTACGTCACAGACTCCGCCGGTATATATCGTGTAGGAAACAGCATCGGCTTTAGTCGCATGCAAGATGCCTCGCAGTTCGGAGCTCTCTGATTTCAAGAAAGGTATAATTATCGGGTATCACAAATGTGGCCGATCCTTAAGGGACATATCTAGCGATCTGAAGTACCCAAAATCAACAGTGGCCTATGTGATTAAGAAGTGGAAGGTGAGCGGTGATTGTCGGAATGTGCCCCGAATTGGCAGACCAACGAAACTGGGAGATAGAGACCGACGAGTGCTGTTCAGAGAAATTCGGAAAAACTGCACCCAACCGATGGTCCTCATCCGCGAGAAGTTTCAACAGGCGTCCGGAAGTATTGTTTCAATGAATACCATCCGTAAGGAAGCACATCTGCTTGATTTTCATGGTCGTGCTGCTGCCCATAAGCCTTTGATCACAAAGTCCAACCACGCTGCTCGGTTAATGTGGTGCAAAGCACATCGTAATTGGACCGTAGATCAGGTGGAAACGGGTTCTTTGGAGTGACGAATCAAGGCTCACCCTTTACCGTTCGAATGGTAGGGTCTGGATCTGGCGTCTACCTGGAGAACGTCTCCTGCCAGAATGCATTGTGCCAACAGTAAAGTTCGGCGGAGGTGGAATTATGGTCTGGGGGTGTTTCTCCTGGTATGGGCTGAGACCCCTTGGTCCCCATTCATGGTAAGCTCAACTCCGATGCCTACTGCACTATTTTGGATGACAATGTGCTTCCTACGTTGTGGCAGTTTTACGGGTTGGACCCCTGTTACTTTCAGGACGACGATGCCAGTTGTCGTGTTTTGACGTTAACCAAGGCTTGGTATGTTGTCAATGGAGTTCATCGAATGGACTGGCCTGCCCAGAGTCCAGACCTGAACCCTATCGAGAACCTCTGGGACGAGTTGCATCGCCGAATTCAGGGGTGCACTACCCGTGCAAAATCAGTGAAGGAACTTCTATGTCTTCTCCAAGCCGAGTGGAAGAAAATACCACTATCTGTCATACAAACACTTGTGGAAAGTATGCCCCGGAAGGTCCACGCTGTAATTACCTCTCGTGGAAGCTCTACCAACTCTTGATTTTTGAATAAAGTTAGTTTTTCTTTTCTATCACAGGTGTCCAAATACTTATTGGCAGTCAGTGTATGGCATATATTTGGTAATTCAGTAAATGCAAAATGAATCCTAAAAGTTATGAAAAACATTCTAATAAAAAACTGAAGTAAGAAATATTAAAAATTGAAGAAAAGTATTTTAATATTTTTTCCCTGCTTAAAATCATTTTAGCTTATAAAAATATTTTAAATTATTCATGAAAAATAAATGCCTGATCATATTTTTCGGCAGATCTGCAAGACTAAGTTAAAAAAAAAGTTTACAAGTTCGCTTGTAATATTAAAAATGAAAATACTAAATTGTGTATAGTATTATTAAAAATTATTATAGTATTATTTATAAATTATAATAAATATATAGTGAAATGCATGACTAAGTTTTAATCATGATAAATATGTAATAAAATACATAAGACTAATTTTTAATCATAACCCTTGGTATAAGAATATATGATCCTTTTTTAAAAATACAAAATTGCATCTAACTGAAATATTATTTATCTATTGACATTTAAAAATACCAAACTTTGTTAAAAAGAGATTTGTTAATTCTGTTAAAAATTTGTTAAGTTTCTATGGTAAATTTTGTGCATAAATCTGTCTCAAGCAACTACCTCCAATCTTCTGTAATTATGCAATATAATGTTTATAACTCAGTCATTCATCAAACAGGTGGTGTGGTCAATGTCCAGACATTGTCTGTGGAGGTGTATCAGTGAATTACTAAAGTCTAGCTCTTGTTATGCATAAATGAATTAAAACTAAAATATGAAAAAATATGATTTATAATGGTATAACTTTATCAAAAAATAATGAAAATTTACATTTCTAGATATCATGAAACGTTGTACTGAGCATCCATGTAATGTTTCAAAGTCATTTAATAAAAGGAATTTGGGAAATTTATATATCACTTTATATACTGATAGAAATACGGAATGGGGTAAACAAAGTGGTAACTTGAATAAAAGTAACAAAAATATTAAAAACATTACCGATGATCTTCTTATGTTGAGGATGTTCAGAATGTCCTCCCCCAGTAGCAATACATCATCTGCAGTGCTGTGGAATAGCACTGCAGACGACAGACGATGAATAAACGTGATATGGTTTCCATAAGAATGCATTCACAGGCAGTCACAGTTGGCCTTTTCATAGTATCCAGCATATGTGATTTTTTTTAGCATAGACACTGTTCTTTACATTTCCTTACAGAAAGAGGTTTAATGGCATTAGATCAGGAAATCTAGGTTGGTATTCAACACTTTCTCATTGGCCTATACACCTCTGAACAAATGTTTCACCCAGGATTTGCTATGCATCTCGATGGTAATGTGATGGTGCACTATCTTGTTGGAAAAAACAATTTACATCTGAACATTTGACCCAATTGTGGCTTTGTGCAATACTTGTCTCTGTCCCTTCAAAAAAGAATGTCCCAACAAGTACTCTGTCAGATAAACTACACCATTCTGATAACCTCATTAGATTAACAGTTTGTTCTTTCATAACATTAACATTTTCATTTGCCCAGCACACACAGTTGTGATGGTTGAAGGTTCCATTCAGTTTAGCCTCATCAGAACAAATAATCAAATCAGTCAGCTGTTCACTATCTCATATCCATTTACAAAATTGGAGGTACCTATATCGGGATCAACCTCATTTATCGCATGAAATAACCTAGGAATCTAGGGTTTCATCTTTTCTTGCTTAAAAATGTGGTGGGCACTTGATTTACTTACACTTGACTCGCATGTAGCTTACTGTAAGGTCTTCTTGGGGGATCTTGTGAAAGTTTTTACCATTGTTTTCACCCTCTTTTTCCGTCCAATACTGCCACACCATCTGTTCTTCGGATCATCCAGAGTTCCTTCTCTCCCAGAATTCTGGTGTGATTTTTTCGTATTTGTCACACGTGTCAGTCGACCAATATCAAATTCTGTCTGCCATCATCTGAGCATTCGTTTCATGTTTTCAGTTGTTTGAAAACACTTATGTTGCTCAAATGAAAAGTTCCCAGTTATCTTGTCAGTTATTTGTCGCTACTGGCAACTGACCTAGAAATAAAAGGGGGGGAATGAAACCTATGGATGACATTTTTGAACATTTTCAACGTTAGAACTTCATCAGTAATGTTTTAAAATCTGTGCGGCTTAAAAAAATCATATCTTTATTTCTGTTCGGGTTATTAAATTTCGAATAATATAAACCCCTTTTATGGGAACTCTGTATTAAGTGATATATAAACTCATTTCACTAGTTTATAAATTTATAGAGCTTAGTCTCTTATTGATATAGACTTCATTTCAGAACACATTTTTGCTTCATCTATGAGACTGTGGATAACCTCTGGGAAGGTTTTTTTGATGTGCAATTTAACCAGCTTTGCTTCATTAATGTATCTGTAAATTTCTGACCCTATGAATATTGTTTCAGAAGTTTAACTTATCTATGAATTTCTGATCCTTTGAATATTGTTTCAAAGGTTCGGACTAGTGAAAGGCTTGAAAAAAGGACTAGTGTCAAAGAATTGTTTGAAAAAGATGATTTCTAAGTTTGAAAAGAATGGGTATTTGAGTGTGCTGCTAAGAAGCAGTCAGTAACAGTTTTAATTGAAACTGTGCAAGACATCAATCTTGCTTTAGTTGACAGAATATCCTGTTCTCGATATTCTTCAAGTGCTTGAGTGATGTCTTATGAATTGTTTATCTGTTGCTCAAGAGTATGAAAGGTTGAGATCCATTTTAAAGTCATATTCTTACAAGATGTACATCGTGCAAAATCTGCACCCTCAAGACAGTGCATTGATTTTGCTTGCTTTTGGCGAGACTAATTGGTGACTATGCATGGCCTTGTGATATTTTATGATTAGACAAGGCACATTTTTTTCTTAGAGCAGAACTGTAGCATGTGGAATGCCGTAAGTTTATTATTATGCATGAAGCAATCTGCTTTCTGATTATGTGACTATATGTGATTATGTGACTTTCTGGCTTGGTTTTTGCTGCTGACTTCATTCTTGGCCCCTTTGAGGAGAGTATTAAGAAATTTTAAAGATGTACTCTCATGAGTGTGCATTGCTGTGAAATTCTAAAACATTATCATTTCTAGCTTACAAGAAGATTTAAGAGATTACTGTCTTCATGCAAGATAATCCAATAACCTCATATTGGCTAGAAAGGGAAGTAAATACCTTGTTCTCACTTTGAAGTTGATTGAGTAATTTCAGGAAGTTCTGAACACCTAATTGCCATGTTCTCTGAACTTGAATCCCTAATATTTCCTGTTATGGGCATTCCTGAATGTCTCTTCCTGAATTGAAAGCAAACATAACATGTCATGTTTTCAGCAGTTCCTGAAAGAACCCTTCACATTACTGTTGAGCATGCTGTAACTCATCTTTGAACATGTGACTGATACAAATGGAATCCACATTGAAAAAATGATGTGATTAAATAAAGAGTTATGTTTCCAATGCCACCATTTCACGTGGTGGTCAGAATTTGAACTATTGTTTTTATTTCAGTTTTAATTTTCCTATGGTTCACATAATGTATATATCGTATTTCAACCAAATAAGTCAATCAAGATGGGCTTTACATAGGTCTAAGTAGAGTCACTTTAATTATAATTATAGTAAAAAATGTTTGAAAATTATTGTTTTATAATGACTACTAATGCATTAAGGCTATACTATATTTTGTCTTGATGATTAGTTTTTAAAATTTTTGGGTTTTGTTTTTTAATTAAGAGCTATGCAATGCTAATTAAGATATTTAGAAGAATTTATATTTCTTTGTAGTTTATTGCAGTGGTTAAAATACAGTCGAAAAGAATATTGCGAGTTATGCAATCACAGGTTTTCTTTTATGCCAAGTAAGTGAAATTTTCTCTCTATATATAAATTGAAATACAGATTGCATAACATGTTTTCTTGTAATTTATTATTATTTTTTATTTTAGTTTATTCACCTGACATGCCAAAACGACTGCCAATAAAAGACATTTTTAGTGGGCTTTTGTGCAGCTTGGGAACTGCAGTTCGATTTTGGTTACATTACACTCTTGTGGCTGTTGCATGGTTAGGCATTGTACCATTGACAGCATGTAAGTTTTTTTTTTTTTTTTTTTAAAGCTATTTGTATTGAATTTAGATTCTTTTTGGATTGAATTTGAATTTAAGAATAATACTTTTTTCATTTTGTAATTGAATTTAAATTTAAGAATTGGTATATTTAATTTACTTAGGTGTTAACCCAGAAAAAGAAATCCAGAAAAAATTTGCCAGAAAGAGTGAATACTGCCCCAAATTGATGTACTGCAACCAAATAATACAGTCAAAAGTCCTTAATCCGGACTCGTCGGGTCTTCAGCGATTTTGGATTATCGATTTTTTCGGAATATAGATCATCAGGTTAAATCTCGTAAGATGGCATGCAGAAATTCTAAAATTAAAAATATTAAACCATAATTTATGAAATAAAGAACAATTATGATCTAAAGGGTATCAAAATTTACAAAAAAAAAAAAAAAAGCTTAATATTTATTTATTTACTTTATTAAACATTTCTTTCAATGTAAGTTGTTTAAGTTGCTTTGTTTTATGAGATAATACTTTCTCTTTAATTCTATAAACAGACATAATTTCTTGTTCAGTTACAAAGTTCCGCTGTTCAAGTCCCGTAATTGCTGTGCCGAGAATACCGACTAACTTGTCAATCGAAATTTTTTCGTTTTCACTAACCTCTCTGTCACCTTTTTCATGTCTTTATCCATTTTTTGATGCAATTCCACTTTTTGTTTGATAGACATCGGAACATACTTTCGTTTTGTAGATCCTTTGGGAGCTCCAGTATCGGAAATTCTATTTGACATAATCGAAAGTTCAAGTTTACTTTTATAAAATTGCTCTTACAGTCTGCAAAAAATAATAAGCCGGAAATAATTCGAAGATTAAGGAACAACGCAATCATCAACATTAACTGAAATAGATAATTTTAGCATATACTGTTCGTTATACATAAAACGCGCACGCGAAAACGTATTCTGCGCTTGCGCACGCACATATGCGCAGTCGTAAAGGTCTTACGCGCATGTCTCAATGCGGTGCATGCGCAGAAAATTTTTAGCTTTGAGGTCCGGATTATAGATCATTCCGGATTATGGGGTGTCCGAATTAACGACTTTTGACTGTATTACTAAGTTTTAAGAATGGAGTCCCTCCCATAGTCTATCATATGTCTATGGGATCTACCAAACAATGAGGATGATGTTATTAGTTTCTTACAAGAGTATAATATATTGTCAAGTAACTGTTAGAGTGTTTTAACTTCCACGAAATGAAGTTTTATTCAATTCAATCCAAAAGCATGTGGCAATGTTCAAAAATCATGGTATTTGTGGGAATGTGATTTGGCAGCTGGTTTGTAGCAAGTAGATTGCCATTTGTTACAGACATCAGATTAATCTATCTCTGGTATATGGAGAAGGCATCAATAAAATTTTACATAGAAGAAATCAAAAATAGTGATATTACTGTTATTAGATTGAATTATATTGGCTGCATTCTGCTGCCTTAGTGGGTTTTGGGGTTGTTTACTGGGAATTAAAAACCTTTCTCTTTACAGTGCCAAACCAAAAACGCCATGCCTGGTAAGTACAATAAAAAAAAATAAAAAATAAAAAGAAAAGGAACAACCAAAAAAATTATGTTCTGTTTCTTTAACCACCTATAAAACAAATGAAATCCAAAAAGCTGATTTTGAGATTTTCAGAGTGATGGCAGTGGTGGCAGTAGAAAGTTGTAGCTCAGGATAAAAAGACCCTGTGACTTTTAAAAGTGATTGCTAAATATTTTCTGCCCCCAAAAAGGGAACTATATTAAATTATCACCAAAGTTAGCCAATCCTTCTCCATTAAGATGCAAGTACTTATTTACTTTTGTAACCAAAAAAGTACAAATGCTTATTCAAGAAGTTTGTCTTAATTTGCATTTATAGCAATGATGACGTTTTGAAGTAGTTTTGACTTTAAAAGCTCCCACTGTGAGATTAAAATCTTCAAAATGAAAAGTTACTAGCATAACTACATTATAAGGCTTTTAATATTTTTTCTGTCAAATTAAAAAAAAAAATTTCAGAATTTTGCATGTTCGTTTGTGTTTGTTTGTGGCTTATCCTGCCCAGTCCACAGAAATTTCAGATCAGGTTCATGAACCCGTGGATTACAGAACCCTGAAGAAAACTCCAGGAGAGCAATTGGCTCCTCAGCCAACCAGTGCAAGACAAGGTATGGGCAGCAGTGGCTTAGGTCAAGTTGCATTTCAGCCAGAAGGGATAGACTTTAATGCGCGACACAAAATAAAGAGTGTGCAGATAATAGAGCGCAGCCTAGCTAGAGCCTTTTGTTCAAATCTGTTTCTTGCGTCTGTTAGGGCAATGCTACAGTGGTTACCAGTTACCTCTTGTGTGTGGGCACAAGGTGTTGATTTCTAATCTTATGACGGCGAATCTTATCTGCGAAGCAAGTTCCGAGAAAGGCCCACCAGCAGCCGAGCGGTAAAGTCGCTGTAGTTCAGTCCGAGGTTTGAATCCCACGAACGGGCTGGCTGCATGGGTGTTTTCGTGGTTTTCCCCATGTGTAACATGTATACGAGCCAGTTTCCCTTAGAAAGCCCTCCACGAAGGCATCCCTCCCCTTAGGCAGATAGCCCTAGTGTGCTTTGCCATAATTAAATACACACCAAGTTCCGAGAAAGAAAGATGGCTACTACCAGGGGTACTCTTAAGGCTTCTGGCTGGCCAGTCCATCTGCTATCTCATTACCACAAACCTCCACATATGAAAGGCACTCATTGAAAAAGTATTTTATTATGGACATTCAAACAAACCAAATGCTAGGTAGTATTTAAAGTAGTTTTCTCTTCATGTTTCCTCAGATCAACCAAGTACTGTATAGATTTTTGGTTATCACTCAGAATCCAGATCTCAGTATTGATTCCCTCACTGACACAATATTGCCTCCCCAATAGCAATGAGCAATAGTTAGGGTTTCTCTTAGAAATCTTAATTCCATTCCCTTTCCGGATAAATATTCTGCTATCTTAGATACCGCCGTCATCCCTGCTACCATCAGTATAAATTAAAAAAGCATCACCGGGGATTTTATAAATAGCCTCCAAAGCAAGCTGTCTGAGATCTACAAAGCTTTGTTAGTATAAGAACAAAGTTTGGTCCTAAGGAAAGATCATTGACTTAGCTCATTAAAAAATAATAAGAATTGATAAGAAATTAGAATTGTCACATTTTGCTTAAAAGGAGGAGGGGGGATTTTTATGGGTGTATTGCATAGATATTCTGTAATTGTATATTTTGAAGATTTTATTTTGATGTAAGGCATCATAATGAAAGCAGTATGATGTGATGCCAAGTGAAGATGACATATGAATAAATTATATAAATTAATATAATAATTAAAATATTCAACATATTGTATCTTAAAAAGAAATCATATTTAGATAAGATATATGATTAAAGCTTTTTCCAATGTGTTACAACAAGGTACTAAATGCTGTTTATAAATAATTTAACTTATAGGTCGAATATATCGATGCCTGTTCACTGGCTCTTTGACCTCAATTTTAAGCCTACCGTTAGACATGCTTTCTACGTAAGTATTTTATAGACGTACTTTTTGCATAAGAATTTTAATTCAACTTGCATTTTTGTATATATTATTGATAAATTCTATTTATGAATTTTAATTTATTTTTAATATAAATAATTATAAAAAGGCATATAATGTGATTTATATATAATTTTATATATGTTGAATCTACCAAATAATATATATATTGAACCTAAATACTGCTAATGGCAGTTAAAGGTGTTTAGGTGTTTTCCTTCCTCCTCCAAACATATAAGAATATATTGCTTAAATAGTGATAAAATGCTGAATGAGTAGATCTAGAATTTTAAAGATTCCATCAGATTGGCTTAATATTAGTGGTTAATTTTCATTTCAGCATAATAAATAAAAAGCTTTTATTTTAGCTGAAATGAAAAGCTTTTTAATTTAGTATTGAAAATATTTTATTGTTTCAATAACATCGTGAATTTGATTGTTAAAAAAATCAATACTGTTAAAAAATTATCAAGTTCAAAGAATATTTTAAAGCTAGTAATAATAAAAGTTTTTGTGATATATTTTTTTGGAATGAGTAGCCTTTTCCTTCATGCACATGATTTTGTAAAAATTGTGTGAAATGTTTCAGTTGACAGTCTAATAAAAGTCAGAAAAAATATTTCTAAAAGTCATTGCATACTAGAAATATTAATAATTTGAAATTCTTGTTAGTTCACTTAATATCATTTGTGATTTTTGATATTTTTGCAGTCCTTGATCTTAATATCTATTCTTCATATTAAATTTATTCTCTTTGACATTCTTGTTTCGTTAGTTCAAAATTATTTTTGTTTTCTCTTATGTAATTAAAAATTGAAAGTTGTAGAGGGATGATTGTAGTTCTGATATAGGTGGAATTTCAGATATTTTACTTTCTCAAATCTGTAAGTTCAGGATTTGAGAAATTGGATGTACTCATGATCCAGTGTATGTACCATGTCATCATATCAACATGTAATTTTAGCAGACAGTAATGTTGTTGATGTCCATGATTGATTTTAATTGGTGGATAGACTACAAAAACTATTAAAAATTCTGCAAAGGTTAATCAATTAAAAAAAGGAGCTTATAAATATTTTGAAAGAGGGATATATAGAATATGGTGATTAATATATATATATATATAAAAGAAGAAAGACATTGCTGAAGAGTTCTGTCCCCATCAAATTTAATGTCATGAATCTTGGTCTGTGTTGTGAAACAATAATTTTTATTGCTGTGATGAAATTTGCAGATATTTGCAAAATGCCATTTCAGAAGGTGAAAACACTTTTGTTAGATCAAGAAGTCAGAAACTTTCAAATAATTGTCTTATAGAGAAACAAGTGAGCTGCAACTGATATATTTTATATCATATAAATCAACCTTATATATCATATAACCTTTTTCAGATGCCATTTCAGAATGTGAAAACACTTTTGTTAGATCAAGAAGTCAGAAACTTTCAAATAATTGTCTTATAGAGAAACAAATGAGCTGCAACTGATATATTTTATATCATATAAATCAACCTTATATATCATATAAACCTTATATGATATATAAGGAATGGGTTGATTATATCCTAAAGGGTTATATCTTAAAAGTTGGACCCTGAAGGGTTGATTATATCCCTTATATGAATATAAGGGATATAATCAACCCTTTAGGATGGGTGTATTGTAAATGCATCAGTACTTAATCCTCTTACGTAATGACATACCGCTTAGTGCAACTCACCTTGGAGAGGGTGTGTTGTTGCTGTAGTACAATATCGTAAGATAGTGTATTTTGCGTGGCTAAGTTTTAAAAAAATTCATTAAAAGTATTTTTTATCACTTGTTTTGATTTTTTTCTGTAATGGTGTCTAACAGTAATATAATCACAAATATAGAATATGAAGATATTCTGAAAAAAAATTTAATTATAATCTAAATGTAAAATAAAATATTTGACTCATCTTTATGACACGTAAAAAAACTTACATAAATCTATATCTCAACACATGTAAAAAATAATAAAATATATGATAAAATATTTTAGCATAAAAATAGCATGATTCGAAAAGGAAACAGTGTGTGATAATCTACTCGCTATCATTTCATTAGTTATGAAACACATTTTCAGGTTGTATTTTTTAATTATTCCCAGCAGAATAATTGATCTTAGGAATCCGCTCAAATTAGGCTCATCTGCAGGAGTATGTTGATTTTGAATGAAGATGGATTTTCACTCTTCTTTTAGTCATAGAAATTGTTAGTTTCTCCAACTAGATTAGATTATTGAAAAAAGTGGTAAAGAAATCAATTTCATTCACATAATTTTGATTTAAGTTTACTTCTGCCATTCCTGTAAATTCATAAGCAGTTACTTAACAGATTGAGTTCATGATAAAATAGCCACTGTTCTGCTAGATTTTGAGGTAAAAGCAAAATAAACTTCCAATTCATTCTCTGACAAAATTTCGGTATCAAAATCACTATTCTCACTTAAATCTAGAGTCTGTGTCAAAATAGTCACTCATGGGCTCGAATGGACACTCATGGCTTTGGCCAACCACCAACTTTGGCTTTCAGTAACCTTGAGAATCGAGTGCATGCACATGTGCAGTGTATGTTGAAGGAAAGAAAATACCTTCCTGTTAGCATGTAAAACAAAATCGGTTTAATTGTAGTATACGGTACACATGGGATTTGGCAACATTGTGAGGAACAGTAAACAGGTCATTTTGGTGCTGTCGACAATTTTCAAAATTGTGCCAAGGCATCTACTATAATTTTACCACAAAATCTTTTAAACTATTTTTTTTCTTTTTAATAAATGCCTTATTTGCCATTTTGCAGTAAAAAAAAAAAAAAAAGGAAATAAAATTGTAATCGGTCATCTAGGTTAACCTATATTCGCCAAAATATCTTGATTATTATGTGAGGGTAAGTTGAAAAATAAGTTTCCCCTGTCGACTGTGGTCAGAGTTGTGTATGAAAGTCAAAAAATAGAATGAGACATTAAAGATATGACATACCTTTATTTTTCCACATAGGTACCAAGTACATTGAGACATTTGTCATATCGCTTGATAAGCTTCAAAAAGCCCTCCAGCAAAAAATCAGGGCTTTGCATATGGAAGAAGCGTTGAATGGCTTGTTTCACTTCAGTATTGCTTCCAAAGCGCCTTCCCCGAGATTTTTCTTAAAAGCCGGAAACAGACGGAAGTCGCTTGGTGCGAGATCAGGACTGTATGGCGGATGTTGTAGGCGCTCCCAACCAAGAGTTGCAATATGGTTTTGCGTTGCCGTCACCGAATGTGGTCTGGCATTGTCATCCAACAGCAGAACGCCAGATGTGAGAAGGCCAGGCTGCTTTTTCTGAATCGCCTCTTTCAATTTCGACAGGGTGTCACAGTAGCGCGTAGCATTTGTTAGCAATTAATTAGTTCCTATATTAAAAACACATTCCGTCAAAACATTAATTGTTAAATACTTGCTTTATTCAGAAACATTACCGTCAACATTACTGCTAAAAAAACTTACAGTTCAAAATATTATCGTTCTGAAAAAAAACTGTTGTTGCCAATCGGGAAAATACATTTTAAATAAAATTAATACGTTGCGTTTACATTCGGGCATCCTGACTTAGTTACGACCTTGGAACATTAAGAACTTATATTTAAAAAAATGTAAATCTTTAATATTAATGTTTATAGTTCGAAAGTCTTTAGCTGTCGTATAGATTCACCGTCGTTTTCTATTCTTTTTCCGTGTCCTAGTTTTAGTAATATGCGGCGTGTTGTTATCGTTATCCCCAGTAATGTCATCACCATCATCATCGTCTTCTTCTGATTCAGCTTGACACTGCCATGACTTTAATTGGCTCACATGAGCTGTCATACTAAAGAAATGTCCTTTCACCTTCTCTTCTAATTGAGTCACTCTATAGGTATCACTTGGTAAAACTTCTGTAATTACCAAAGGTCCTCGATACTTTTGTTGTGTTTTGGTTGATTCTCCAGTTGATTTAGGTACTCTTCTCATAACTACTATTTCTCCTCGTTCGAATGTTAAAGAATTACTTTTCTTCTTGTCATAATTTGCTTTCATTTTTTCTGCATATCTTCAATTCTCTTTTTCTAGCTTCATTTTGTAAGATTACTGGATTCTACCATTCATTTGCGTCTTTCATCTGTAATCATTCTCATCAATCCGTCCGTTAAATTTTGGTGAATAACCGTGAAGCATTTCGATAAAGGAGTTTTATTTGTAGTCTTATTTATCATATTGTTTAGATTTCTTTCGCACTCCTTAATCTTATTTGTCCCAGTCCTCTCTGATTCGGACTTTCCATACTCGTTTTAATCGTATCCAAAATTGTTCGATTTGCTCTTTCCACCATTCCATTACCAATTGGATGTTGAGTTGAATTGACTGTATGACTGATTCCATTAATTTGACAGTACTCTCGAAATTCCTTCGCTGTGAAACATGTTCCTCTATCGCTGATAATTTTTCTGGTAACCCAAAATCATCTACAAAACTCTTCAATGCAACTAAAACATACTTGGTTGCAGTACTTTTCATAGGATATAAGCGTGTAAATCATGTAAAATTATCAATTATTACAAATAATTCTGTATTTCCTCTTGAACTTTTTACGAATGGTCCGAAATGATCTATATGTATAATTGCAAAAGGTCTACCAGGTCTAATTGGATGCAGTACTCCTTGTTTCTTACCACTAGGCATTCGAAACACATCGAAATGTGACGCATAACATATCGTTTCATTCCTTTAAACCAGTATGATTCCTTGATTTTGGCAACAGTTCTGTCTGCTGAAAAATGTTCCAAAAGATCGTGAAATTTTACTACAATACCTTTTCTTCTCATCGATTTAGGTATGACATATAACAATTTCTCCTTTTTCTGATCTTTCACTTTACGAAACAATCGATTATTCTTCAAGACGTAATTTTCAGTTACATATTTCTCTGCATTCGTTCTATCATTTATC